AAACGGGGATGATAATGTTAATTGTTTAAGTGCTAGAATCAATCGACTAGAAAAATTAATCCAGGGTCTTAATATAGCTGTTAGTCCCAATCCGAAGCCTAATAATTCTTCCAATTTGGTTCCTTCCGCAAATTCACCGATTTTTTTCCATAAAGCTATTGATTTTTCAAAAATGGAGACTAATGAATTGGTTTCGTTTTCTACACAATTGGGGACTTTGCTGTTTGGTAATCGAAATGCTAATAACCATAGACCGAACGTTATGAGCATTAGTAATATCATTGCTCATTAACCAGTTACCAAAAAAAAAAGAACATTTATATATATTATAACAAAAACTCTTAAAAATACCGTAAAAAAGCCTCACTTAAAAATATAAAAAAATCAAAACTCTTAAAAAAGCATTTATATACCATAACGAAATAACAAAATTAAGTTGTTCCGTAAAAAATTATGTCGATTTCTAGGGAAAAACAAGCAACCGTAATCTTTAAAAAATCTCGAATTTCTACTGGTGAAAGTGCACTCACATATGTTGAGAATTGTGCCAATTACCAAACTAAGATGACACTTATAAGCATCTAAAAAAATGTAAATAGCATGTATGATTCACGGTTGGAAACTCAAAACATTTTATAAGAACATTATGCATTTATGATGTATTCTTATATCTCTTCCGCACTATATACATTAATTCTCATACTACTTTCTAGAATATTAAAAAAAATAATAAATAAATAAAACTCGACATAGTTATAAAATACTGTAATTTAAATAAAACCTTTTTTTCTGATCTGTTAACAATAAAATTAATTCTGAAATCTTGTAAAAATTTGCGATTCATTTTTAAGTAGATTGTTAAATTGACCAATCAAATAATAAACCGAAAATTTTAAAAATATTAAATGAAAAATATTTAATCTAAAAATTTGATCCTAATTCTAAAAAAAACTATATTATATACAGTCAAACCTCGATATAATCACCGGGTTGGTTAATTTTTATGCTTTATAATTATGATTGGATAAAATGAAAATAGAATTTTTTTTTATAATTTGACTATGCCAATATATATCGAGTCTGACTGTATTTGAAGTTTGCTATTTGAGTGCTACAGAGCGAAAACCTGTAACTGATCATAATGAATTACTATATTCAGTTACTCTGCAGCGCTCATTTATTACTATATATATATAATATATACTAGTAATTATCATCAGTATTGTTATATCTAAAAGATAAAAAGTTGGATTATCGTGAAATTGGATGATGGTGAAATTTAGGGGTCTCGATTTGAAAATATAAGCCGAATTTACTTATTCACCTATACTCTTTTACTAATAGCTCTAACCATAAATCCTAACAACTATTTTTTACAATCGTACGTATATGTACGTACGTACGTACGTTGTGAAAGGGAAAATCGAGTTGGTCGATCGCCGCAGTTCTTAGTAACACAAGTCCTAGAAATCCTTGGAATCACGTGATTCTAGAGATCTTCGATATCTCAGTTATTAGCGATATAACGGTTATTTCTCGGATAGCGAAGATAACCAAGATAATAGAGATAATAGAAATAACAGAGATAACGAAGATATTAGATATCAGCGATATATTAGATATCTCATTACTATGTAATAATAAGTATATAAGCGAACGCATTTCGCTTTGAATCAAGATTAACCCGATCGGAGTTCAACATTAAAACAAGTGAAATCTGTATTACCAGAAGGGATAAGTGAACAAATCCCGTGTTTCTGCATACAGAGATTCGTGACGTAATTCAGAGCTCTAATCCGACACTATCTCTACCAACCCAACTAACCCTGGTTACTCGGACCAAGTCTTTCCACGCCTTAATCGTAATACTAGGGTTTGGTTGTACTAGTTGTGGTGTTCTGGTTAGAGTGATTTAGTTAGTTTTAGTAGTGTATAGTTGTATTATCTAGACCCAGTGAACTTTTCGCACTTTTACATCAAAATACCTGGGTACTTTGTATAGCATTTTTTTTTAACCGAGGATAATACCCGGGTATTTTGCATGGCATTTTTCACGTTAACACATTGATTTCTGCATTACATATATAAGACCGTACAAAGTACCCCCATACAAGATACCCGTCACCGATCAAGATACCCACGAGTACTTTATAAGTTTTTTTTTGGTTAGATTGTATTGGACCCGGGTACTTTGGTCAGTGCACTACGGTAGATCCAAATTTTACAATCATCCAGTGATGTAAATTGGATCCGCGCAGTAGGCGCAGCACATATAGATTTAAATTTGCGCATATATCAGCGCTCTTCATATATATAATGTGCATATAAATTTCTTTTTTGTGTCTATTTTTTTTTGCATTTGCGCCAATAAAAATTTTTTGAATTTATAACACTGTTCACAATCATCCATAAATAAAAATAATTCAAATTTTAAATAAATATATTTAGAAATTTGTTAACTTTAGCAGGTTGTTATATAGAAAGTTAATATTTAAAAAAAAAAATTAGAATTAGAATATATGCAAAATTATATATTAAAAATTTTAATTAAAAGCTCAAAATTAGTTTATATAGTAAAATTTTAAAATTTTTTAAATTTTTTTAATTAGAAAATTATAAATAATGATCTATTGCTATAATGATCAATGATCCTATATAATTGGCCAATTATTTTTGAGATCATTGATCATATATAAACAATTAATAATTGTTTTTGTTTTTTTTTGATTTTGTTTTTTCACTTTGCTTAATTTCAAGATCAGATATATGCTTTTAATTTTTATTTTTTTTGCTTTGCTTTCTTCTAATACTCTGTTAAGGTTTGTAATTAATTTTCTTAAAAGACTATCTTTTTTGAGTAATCTATTAATTTTGATTTTTTTTGCTTGGTCTGTCAAGTAAACTTGCTATTATTTTTTCTTACTTATCAATTATTTGGCATCTTTATTCAATATTTTTATTTATTACCTCTTTTTTAATTTTCTCTAACTTTTCTTTTTTTTATTTGTTAAAAATTTTTACTATTTTCTTAAGTTTTCAATAATCTTCTAAGTTTAGTATTAAATTTCTTCAATATAGATTTTACAATAAAGATTAATGAACTTAATTTGTTTATTGAACTTTTGAATATTTTCTGTTAATTATTAAAGTTTAAAATTTTTTTATCTAGGTTTATCTATCTATTTAGTAGTACTAATCATTATAAAAGCTTTGATTTCTTCTTACATTTTCTTTTGACTCAAGTTTATTTGAAATTTTTTTTTTAGATAATATTTTTTAGACTGCTGCAGTAATACTTCTATTTACCAAATCTCAAACTTTGTCTAAAAGATGTTAGATTTTTTTAAAAATATTATTAAAGTTAGTCAAATTTGTATTAAATTTTTTTTTAAGTATTTTTTTTTAATTCTGCTTTATAGTTATCTTAATTTTCTTTGGTTGTTTTATTATAAAAATAAACTATTTTTTAAATTTTTGTTTTTTTAAATTCAGTATAACTAATTGCTAAAATTAAGTAGTCTAGTTTTATTTTTATTAGTATTATTTCATAATTGCTATCAGTAATAATATCTATGTTTTGAATTTTTACTTTGTAAAGTTTACTTACAAAATCTTCTGTAATCTAAATTTGATTGATTCTAGAATTTTGTTTACCATTTGTCCAAAAAAAATCTTTGCTTTTTTGATTTATTAATTTAAAGAAATCTTTAAAATCTTGTTTTTGCAACTATCTAAAAAAAGAATCCAACTTAAATAATTCATTCTCTATATAATAATATTACTCTTTTTAACGATTCTCTGAATAATATAACAAAAAACTAAACTACAGGAAAACATTATAGGAAGGTTTAAAATAATTACTATTTTTAATTTTGTCTTTAAGTAAATAGTTGTTAACAAAGCCTAAAGATGTAAAATACTAAGAAGCAGATATAGCTTAGGTGGTTTTTCTTAAAATCAAGTTTTTCTGCTTTTGGTAAACTTCTCAACATATTTGATATTTAAATCCAAAGGTTTATTTTAGGATCTAAACTCACTTCTGAACAGGTTGCTATTGACAAAGCTTAAAAAATATAAAATACCAAGAAGTAGACATAACTTAAATAGTTTTCTTGAAGTTAAGCTTTTCTGTTAATAGATTTTCTAAAATATTTAGTATTCAAACTAGAAGATTTATTCTAGAAGCAAATAGTGGAATGGCCCTCACTAAAATAATATAATCTTGAAAATCTAATTATATAACTATAAAACTTACAGAAAAAACCTTATATATTTTCATTGGCCTCTACTGTTTTTAGAAAAAATTTTGTAAAAAAGTAGATGATTTAGCTTATTTTCTCTAAAAGATTAATGAATTATTTACTTATCTAATTGAGCAGTATTGTTTACTTTTACTTATTATAACAAATATATCGATATATATAAAATATAGATATATAAATTACGTACCTTAGATATAGTAACCTAGACAAACAATACTCTAAACCCAATAGTGCAAATTTCTAATCTCTTTATAGTGTTGATATTAAAAAGACTAATTTTTTCTTCTTAGTTAGAATTTTTTATTTAAATATATTAATTATATAAATTAATATAGAGAATAGTTTAAATAGTAATATGTGATTTTTATAAAGTCTAATATAGGCTTATAATTATAACTATTTGGTATAAGTAAAAAATTTTATATTTAGTTTAGTTTTTTTTACTTTCCTTTTACGCCTTTTATTTCTTGTTTTTTTT